ATTTCCCACTAACAAGCAGAGCCATCCTCCCTCTTAGCTCACATTTGTAGCCCTATGCATGTTCCCAACACCCCACGCAGGGCTGTGGGGATAGGATCCCTCCTCCCTGTCACAGCCGTGAATGGCCAAACCAGCACCCCCCCATGAGACACCCTGCTTTCTGTATGCTTACTCTCTTATATCTGCATGCTTCTTAAAAGGAGTTGTTAAAGACTACCTGGAATGTTTTGACATGTTCTTCTGATTTAAGGGCATCAATTTCAGCTACTGTAGCTCTGGCAGTACTGGTTTTGCTATTTCCCTCAATTCCCAGCAGAAATTAAGCAGAGGATCTGAGATTCAGATGTCTGAGATTAATGGGATTGCTCAGGTATGGAAGCAGTGACAAAATGGAAAGTTATTCCTAGTAGAAAACGTAATTAGTCCCTTTCAGATCTTCAGTTTGACAGTAGTACTAGCATCAATTATTCTCTGTTGGGAATATTCCATTTTAACGAGGTTCACCGTAATATCATCCTTTCCCAGTAGTACTGGAGGAGAGAAGGCCTGTTCAAATTGTTATCTTCCTACCTTGAGATTTTTAACATTTGAGCCTCCTACTTATCATCTAATACTTTGCCTTGACTTCAGCACCTGAACAATTCCTCTACTCTCAAGTGTCTGGAAATGAATTCTTTTTTTTCCTTTTTTTTTCCCCTTTTCATTTCTGGAAAGAGTCTGCAATCAACAATGTTTCCAAGCTAAAAGGTATTATTATAAGTAAAGCTAAAATCCTCAGTGTGTGGAAAACATGTCAAAATAATCTGGCAAAGCTATAAGGCTGGGTCTTGGGGAGAAAAGGTAGCTCTATTGTGTTGGTTTCAGCTTAATCGGGAAACTGTGTCAACTCTGGGTCTCAACTCCTGCTCCTGCAGGTCACAGAAACTCTTCCGAGCACGCCATCTGCAGCTTCTTCCAAAGTTATTAAATTGTCAAACTCTGAATTCCTCAGGCGCTGTATTTTTAAGAGTGGTGCTGCTGTCCTAGTGCATGCTTGTTGGGCAGTTTAACAGAGGTAGATGCAGTTTGTGCTGTTAGGTTTTCTCAGGCCAAGGAGATCCTTCTTCCCTCCATGCCAGCATTGGTGATGAAACCTCACGGCCCTATGCAAAAGTCACACTTTCACTTAGTTTCTCACCCTGCTGTTCCCTCTCCCATTTTGCCATCTATAATCCAAAAATACTGTCTCCAATTTAGATTTAGATGCACAGCTGTGTGACTCAATCCCCTAGATAGGTTTGATAATCAGCCTTTATGCACAGCTCCAAGTTATTTTCAGTAGAGGACTGCTGAAAATAAGCAGAGAAAAAATGTAAAGAAATTGTAAGTAATCTCCTTTCCCACACCTCCATATTGGGACACTCTTTAGTAAATATCTCTGAATAAAGCTGTTCTAAACTAAATAAATCACTGGCTTCGGTGGGTATAAAATGAGGCTGGCAATAAAACCTACATAAAATCGCATCAAGATGTTGAAGTCCTACCCAGAATGCAGTGGGACTGGCGTGCCCTGCTGCCAGCGCACCCGGCCACAGCAGCTCACAGGCGCTGTACCCTGGTGTGGCCCATTTCTGACTATGTGGACTTGCTGTTCAGACGTCCAGAGCAAATTGCCAGCTCTTTGCTCAAGTGACACCTCGGGAGGTGGTGAGACAAAATGAAGTCGCTGTTGTGACACAGAGTGTAGAGAGGGTATGATGAAACTGGTGAAGGATCTGGAGCACAGGTCTTATGAAGAGGAGCTGAGGGAGCTGGGGGTGTTTAGCCTCAGGAAAAGGAGGCTCAGGGGAGACCTTATCACTCTCTACAACTACCAGAATGAAAATTGTAGCCAGGTGGTGAGTCGGTCTCTAAGCTAGAGAACAAGAGGAATAAGCCTCAAGCTACACCAGGGGAAGTTTAGATTGGATATTGGGAACAATTTCTTCACTGAAAGGGTTGTCAAGCATTGTAGTGGTCTGCCTGGGGAAGTGGTAGAATCACCATCACTGGAGGTATTTAAAAGACATGTAGATGTGGCACTTAGAGACATGGTTTAGTGGTGGACTTGGTAGTGCTGGGTTAATGGTTGGAATCGATGATTTTAGAGGGCTTTTCCAGCTAAACTATTCTGTGATTGCCACAGCTGGACAACATCCAGCTTCAGCCCATGGGGCCTCCAGAAGGGTTACTAAGCTGGATGCTTTCTAAGAGCTCCCAAAAATGTTTGTGTTCAGCAGGGAAGCTCTGCTGTCTCTGCAAAAGCAGAGGGCTCCCACAGAGATGTTTGCTACTGGCTGTTATGTTATACAGGCAGTCCAGTTGTCATAGGGTCTTAGATGAAAATGAAAAGGCATGTTTAAATCTAGTTGTGCTGAATAACTTGATTAGTTGAAGCATTTATGATAATTGTATTGAAACCCTCATTTTCATTGATGGGGTTGTTTTTGCAAATTATTAACAATTACAGGTCACCCTTGAGATGGAAGCATCTTAAACCTTGTTGCAAAAGCTTTTAAAAAGTAATTCATATCTTATTTACACTGTCACCAGATCATTTAATGTGCTAATGCACTGGGAATGTCAAGCTGTGCTGATAAGAGCAGAGTTTTCCTTCTATTCGTTGTTATTCCTATGTAAATATAATTAAGGCAAGAAGTGTCTTAGGGGTGCCCGATCACATGCGTCAAATTAGCTCCCTTTTTGCCTTGTAAGGCCAACACACACAGAACTGCAAGGTTTCTGGGAAAGAGCCATGGCTTAGGGCAGCACCTTACATATTCGACCTCTGAGCCCTCACCTATGCTGGCTCTATGCAGGGAATCTTCAAGGGTCATTCACTGGGAACTAAATACCTGTCTCATCTTCAGCATGGCAACAGACCCAGCAAGTACCTCTGGAAATACTGTCATATTTCATGTTAGGTTGGTGCTTAAGGTGTTCTGAATTTAGGTTTGTATTGAAGCAAGACTCCAACAAACATCAAGTCTCAGGAAAACTGGAATTGAGGAATTTTGGAGTGATTCTTCCAAAATTTGTGGGGAAATGGAAATCTTTTCACTCTCTGCTGAAAGCTTTGTATTAGACCTGTGAAAAAATGTATGGAGTGATATAAAGAGCTCATGCATCTGCATATCTGAGAATAGGAGCCAACATGCTCCAGCAAAGCTTTAATGTATCACAGGGAAGAGTACATCAGGGCACACTGAAAACATCCAAGATACAGGGGAGGACAATCTTTGGACAGAGTTATATCTTTAGGGTAAAGTTTGAAATTTGGTAATTATTCTCTAAAGCACCACAAGGAACTAGCAGTATTCAGTGGGGCTGAAGTAAAGATAACTTCATCCATCTGCTGGAGGCTTCAGTTTCTCAGAGACCAGGCTCTCTGATAAAGGGTGACTTGATCCCAGACTACCTAGCGAGCAATCATTTGAGTTACTCACCATACAGACAGAGTAATTTAGGCAGTGGTCTATGCATGTTGATGACCCCTACAAACCAGACTGATTTTGATTTAGTGCCCAAGAGTGTTTTCAGATGCTTGATATAAGACCTTTTCAGATAAGGAGCCTATTGTGACTTGGTCAAACCACTCCATCACTACACTATATAATTTGAAGCATATAATTTGATGGTATGTAATCCATCAGAGTTCATCTATCTCAACTGAAATGACTTTGTACATGAATATATGAAATTCTAATGCTGTCCCATTTTCCAGTTCCCATAAATTAAATGTGTTCAGTAGAAGACTGAGAATGTATAAGATCATCTCTCTGCCCTTTTACATTGACAAAGGTTGTAGCAGACTACAACTGAAAAGTAGTCATTACTTTAGTCACAAAAGACCCTAGAATGAACACAATACAAAAGAGAATTAATAGTATGTTACCTGTGTATGATGGGACTGCAGACAGACACTGAAGTGTCAATAACTTGAAGTGAGAGTGGCTGCTGTTGTTGCCTTTTTTTTTTCCTTCAAACTACTCCAACATCCTGTGCCAAATAATTTTGACAGCTTTCAGCTATGAGGGAACACATAAGCAAAATTTACTGCTATAAACATATATTTAGGAGGAGGATGGAGTAATTTTCTGTGCTAACCACTGTGCTGTCAGTACACTGTTGAATTGTGAGTGTTTACTGCATGATGTGCATAGTGTCTGAAAAAACATTGTTTTTTCATTTCTGTTTACATGGCTTTTTCTACACTAGTTTCACCATCTTAGCAAAATATCAAATACAATTGTCTTTCCTAGGTTTCAGCTGAGAGATCGACCGGAATAGCCAGTCAATATAACAATGCTCACAAGGACACAGGGATGAAGATAAGACAAACCATAGTAAGCTTGGTAGTATAGCAGCATCATTAACCTTTTTTTTTTTCCTGCACTATATTTTTCACAGACAAGAGCGTTAGTAATTTTAACTTTGATTGAGAACTGCTATTATCCACTCACAGCATGTGGGAGCAAACAGGCACTTGGATAAATCACAAAAAAAGAAAACCACTTAGCATGCTGCTTCCCTCAAAAACACTTTTTCTGAAGGTATAAAGCTGAGTGCTGCAGGGAGAGCATGTGTGAAGAGAGAAGCAAGGCTACAACAGCCCAAGGAAGCATGCTCAAGGTCAGCCTCTCTCACAGAAGACTGGGAGGTCACGTTTGATTTAGAAGGTATTCTGATATGTTTAAAAAATTTAAGTAATTAAATAATTCAGTGAATAAAAGCCATCAGGATTCTAATGCAGTGTTAATGGGGTCTTTCAGAAATCGTGAAGATGATTTTCCTGAGTGACATAACTGCAGCCATTAGCAAACTTATCCAAGAACAATCATCCATTAAAGGTGAGTGCCTGCACTTCCTCAATGCAGAGTAGCATGAGGAGCAGCACAAGCATTCTTGTTTGCAACCACTGAAATGAGACACCAACGAATAACTTCTGAATTGCCTCATTTTCCTCCTGCAGGCACTCAGCCCTGGGGTGTATTTGCCACCCTTCAGCACCGGATGAAGCAGGCAGTGACTCCACCAGCATGAGTATGCCGGAGGTCTTCTTCTCTACACGCAGTGCTGCTCCAGCAGATTGCTAGGTGAGAAGTAAATCAGACCGATTTGAAACATGGAGTACTTCTCACATGCTCATTGAAAAGAATAAGACTTGCTGGACAGTCTCCACAAAACCTCAACACTCTTTTGGACTGGCATTTCCTACCAAGTGTGCCAGCAATGTCAGCATGAGAAAAGACAACTAGGAGTAAGGGCTACAGCTGCTCCTTTAACACTGTTGGGACAGCCTCCAGAGTAAATTTCCAGCTCCTACTGAATCTGACTGGATATATCTTCCATGCCAAATGCCCTTGCAAAGAACCAAAACCTTTTGGAGGATGTTTGGAATTTCATCTGGGCTGTGTAGAATCCAGCAATAAATTATTCCAATATGAAGGTCTAATACAGTTAATAGATCCTATAAAACTGGCTACTGTGTTTCATCCTATTTAATTTGCTGCAACAACCTGCAGACATCTGAGCTGTTTCAGCTTCCCTTTTATAATCATCAGGTGCCCTGAGAGAAGCTCTCCCAGCTGAGGAGTCCCTGTGTCACCAGCATCTCTGCATAGACAAGCGGTGCAATGCCTCCAGAGCATTCAGCTGCTTCTCATCCTCCAGCATATCCCAAGTGAAGCATCTTCCCTACCACTGTGGGGAGAGCCACAGAGGGCCCTGTGGCCCAGTCATCCCACAAAGAGTGGGCAAGGAGGAGGGCAATGCCAGCCTCTGGCCACCTGTAGCTGCAATCTCTTCTGGAGTTTGGGATTGCCCAGGCTGCACAGCAGGTTGGTGCATCTCTCCAGGGATTTATCTGGAGTTAGTCTCCTGTTGTGTTTTGTGTTTTATGAGGGATAAGATTTACTACCCCAGCAGCCTGCTCTGCTGCCTGTGCCCCTGAGATAGCGCTTAGCATGAGAGCAATCTGGTGTCCCACAGTCCATGGGATGGTGGGACTTTGCTTCTTGCACGGGCTGGAGCATCATAGAGGTCTAGTCCATGTCTTCCAGCCTTTGGTCAGATGGGCCCACATGCCACAGTAGGTAGCAAATGGCTGTGGCAAAACAGGGGTGTTGGGCTAAAGGGAACAGACCTACATACCTTAAACTTACCTAAGAAAAGCCGGTTACTTTAGCTGCTGCCCAGACGAAGTGTGGTACTGCTGCTGCTGTCATTAATTTAACATTGTTTAATTTTTTTGCCTAAAAGAAACTTTCCTAGGCAGACACAGATTTTCTATTTAAACTAGAATAGGTTGGGATGATGGTTCCCTCATATATTTTCTTGTAATATATGTGACAATTGTTTTAATCATAGAGTTATGTAAGTTGGCCTCCAGAAGTCATCTAGTCTAACCTCCCTCTCCAAAAGTAAAAAATACAGGTTAGTCACCTGCAAGTGTATTGTGCCACATAAGGAATCACATTAAATGATTTTTCAGGAGATTTAAGGTGTGTTGTGAAAGAAAGCAGCTGAGATACTACCTATCTCCCTGTTGCATGGGAGTGTTGATCTACTGCAGGCTCAGAAGGCTCTGCAGCAGAATCTGGACAGGTTGGATCAATGGACCGAGGCCAGTTGTACAAGGTTGGACAAGACCAAGTGCCCAGTCCTGCATTTCAGCCACAACAACCCCTTGCAGCATTATAGGCTGGGGCAAAAGTGCTTGGAAACTGGCCCATTGGAAAAGGACCTGGAGGTGCTGGTTGACAGCAGCTAAACACGAGCCAGCAGTGTGCCCAGGTGGCCAAGAAGGCCAATGGCATCCTGGTTTGGATCAGCAATAGTGTGGCCAGCAGGACCAGGGCAGTGATTGTCCCCCTGTACTCCGCCCTAGTAAGGCCACACCTCGAGTGCTGTGTCCAGTTCTGGACATCTCAATTTAGGAGGGACATGGAGGTGCTCGAGCTGGTCCAGAAAAGGGCAAAGATGCTGATGAAGGATCTGGAGGGTAAGTCCTACAAGGAGCAGCTGAGGGAGCTTTAGTTGTTTACTCTGGAGAAAAGGAGGCTCAGGGGTGACCTTATCACTCTCTACAACTACCTGAAAGGAGGTTGTAGTGAGGTGGGGATCAGCCTCTTCTCCAAGGCAACTAGTGACAGGACAAGAAGAAATGGCCTCAAGTGGTGCCAGAGGAGTTTCAGGCTGGACATTAGGTGGAATTTCTTCACAGAAGGGGTTGTGAAGCATTGAAATGGGCTGCCCAGGAAGGTGGTGGAGTCATCATCTCTGCAAGTGTTTAAGGAAAGACTGGACAGAGTACTTAGTGATATGGTCTAGTAGACAGGATGGTGTCTGGTCAAAAGTTGGACTTGATGATCGCAGAGGTCTTTTCCAACCTAATTGATTCTGTGGTTCACTGCCACCAAGGATGCTGCAGCTGGAGACAAAGGATAATGGGTTATGACCAATACATAGCAATGAGTGTCTGCCTCTGACCCTCCCATCTCCTTTCTCAGTGTGTTCAGGTGCCGGAACAAGCTCCTAGCAGAAAGTGGCTGTGCCTTGGACCCACTGGGGAAGTCCTCAGCAGGACAGGACAAACTCGATGCCCCGAACTCTGGGGCAGGTGTGCTGATAGGATGTTTCAGCAGGGAGAGAGCTCTCCTGTGAAGGCCAGTCAGGATTTCACATTCCATCAGATCTATTTTGTTTTGGTGATTTCTGAACTCTAAATTCCTCATCATAAGCGGTGCCATGTAAGTCCAGAAATAAACTCATGTAGCAGTGACACAGAATCACAGCAGCTCCTTTTCTTACCCTAAGTTCTACTGTGTTACATTGGTATAATGTCCTAGAGACTCCACTGTGTGAAGGAAGAATATTTACCTTGCACAAGCTTTGACTGAGGAAAATTTACTCAGTCTGGTAGGGTCTTCTGGACCATCCTGTTCAGAAATTAACTCTCCATCCAATTAATGTCTCACACAGGTTGGTATATGTTTGCTTTGGAGACAGAGAAGAAGTGTTGCCTGGTGAGCAATGTTCACATTTAATGAAGCAGGACGGGTGTCAAGCCTGGCAGCTTGTCCAAAAAGGATTAGTATTATTGTCTGTTGCTGTCCATCATCTCTCACTGCAAGCAATACTGGACTGGGTATCAGCTGTAAAGCTGACAGCATCTAGAAAGTGAGACAGCAAGTCTTCCCATGTGGGATGAGGAAGCCTTAAATGCCATATAAGTGTTGTTCCAGCCCTTGCCGGAGTGAACAGGGGTCATGCAATGTCAGCTCCTTTCCTTTTGTCACCTCAGGGGCAGGTGAGTCAGCATGGTCGTGATGTTCATGGTTAGAATTCAAAATCTCAAACTAATGAGAGTCTTCAGGTCCTTGGACTTTCAGTAAATATTTAGGGAATAACATGCTGGTTGTACAATTACATACTGGTTTTGTATGTACAAAACATACACAATACACACATTTTTAGTCCCTGTATGCTCTTTTAATTTTATAGAACTGATAAATTTTAAAGCATTTTGCTTTGCTATATTCACCCTTGATCCCACAGTAAGTTCTACCCAAGCCTGTATCTACATGAGCTTCCTGAAGCAGATGTCTGATAAAGCAAAAGAGACAGACACTCTCCGTCTTCTACCCTTTCATATTCCCCTTCATTTGTGTGTCAGAGTAAATCAAGGCTTTGCTGATTTGCTGATTAAAGTACTCTGGTTTAATCCAGAAATTAATATTGTTCTTAGTGAGAAAAGTACACTTGAAATGCACATGGTAGGTGTCTAATGTATTATACCCTTAAAATCAGTTTTCTACCACTGAGACAGGCACCTGGGGGGAGCATCGCAGGGGGATTCTGGTTAATTTTTTTTTTTCCACGACCCTTTCCCTGTTAGCATGATATTAATATCTCTTAACTGTTTTGAGTATTAGCTGCTGCAGCAAAATGCAATCCAGGGCAAGACATGTTCACATAAGCATTTTTCTCATTAATAAAAGGCTATGTGAATAGGATGTTATTAGCATGAACCACAGTCTTCTGTATTTAGTATAACCAATTTACTACAAAGAGAAAATAGAAATTTAGTATATGTAGTTTATAGCTGAAAAACATATGACTTCCAGTGGCATTCTACTGAGAATTAGAGCCAAATACTGTCCTTTTTCTTTCTGCATCATACACATCAACTCCTGTACTCTTCTTCCAATGCAGTTTGATTCATCATGTTTTATTACACCTGCTAAAGGACAGCTCAATCATTATAGTGGGTGAAATTTTGTAATTACTCCATATTTATGTTGTATTTGTGGGTTAATTATATTATGCTTTTGGGTTTTGACAGGTAGTTATCACTAATTCATATAACGACATGCCTTAAATGGTTGATATTCAATTATTTCCATAATGAGTTTTTGCTTATTCTGTATTTACATGGCGTTCCAGACAAGTAGTTACAGTGCCAGTTGTGTGATCTTAGTTGCAACTAAAAGTCTCCAAAAGCAGAGCTATGGTTTAGTTGTTCCAGGCAGTGGACAAAATTAAACATTTTAGCTTGGTTGTGTGTACAGTAATGATTTCAGGGGGAAAGTATGTTTTCATATGGAAGCTACAGCTAGAAGTAGTTATCACTAAGACCCCGAATAATGTAACTGAGGTATCACAACAGTGGCTGTATTTATATGGGTAACCAAAAAGTCATTTGTATGTGCTGTCAACTCAGTGAGTGTCTGGCACTGATCTAATGGTTCCCATGGCTTCCACTACCAACAGCAAAGTTCTGGAAATAAAAGCAGTAAGTCTCTTTTTCATGTGATTTTTCAAGAGCTATTGACCAGGATTAGCTTGAGAATTTTGTTCAAACTGTGGCCTAGGGCCCAAGTTTAGCTAGAACTTGCCTTAAGACTGAGATGGTAGCATGAGTTCAATTCAAATACAAACTCACATTACCATAAATGTACTGCAGCAACTTTGGACTGTCTTTCCACATGGCAAACTGAAGGTGAATCAGGCCACCGTGAAGGTCAGAGCTCAGCCAGTCTAATATCTGAATGCCTCTTCATCAGCAGGATTTGCACTCAGAACTTGTGCAAGAAGTGTTTTCTCTCACTAAGCAGGAATCTGTCCTTGACCTTTAGGCTGTTGTACACCACGTGGGCTGCCAGTACTTCATTTCTCCTGCATTTGCAACAAGCACACTGGCCAGATGGAAATCCCACGCTCGCAGTCCCAGGCAGCAGGCTCATGCCACCAGCCCAGTGCTTCTCACCAATATGAGACATTTTTTTACATTATTAAGGACCCACAGCACCTTCTGCTACAGTAAAACTATTTGTTCAGTCACAAAAAATTTTCCTTTCAAACCAAGTCTAGAGCCGTTGTGAGTCATCTGCTGTATTTTACCAGCGAGAAGTCGGGTGTATATTCACTAAGGCTTTATCTGAAACCTTTTTGCTCACAGTAGAAGTATTTCCATTGATTTCAAAGGATCTCAGATCAAGCTTCAAGGCCTACTAAGTTTTAGCCTGTCAGATTTGCTCATTTGAGGCCTTTATGAATTGCAGAGCAGTTGTGTACAGAACCAAGTCATGTGGAGATTAAATAAACCCCATTGACACCAGTCTCCTGATACGTAATAGCAGCAAGAAACAAATACCGACTGGAAAAAGAATGCATGTACAGTGACATTTAGTTTGTATAAAGTGATAATCTCCATATAAATGCAAATAGCACCATTTCCCCAGAGCTGAATGTATGATATTCATCGGTAAATATTTGTGTGTCTTTGACATGTCTCTAAGCAGCAAGATGAGAAATTGAGATGGAAAATGCAGTCACA